ACTTGGAAAATGCTCTGGTAGATATTTTATTCTTCAAGATCGCTGATTCGCTTGTTTAGCTGTCAATCAAAAAAGGATTTCGCCTCAGACAGCTCATCCAATCATGGATGCAGAAGCTTGGAGTCCGGGAGAAAGTCGGGACCGCCCTCTCGCCATAGAACTCCAGTGAAGCTGGGCTTCCATTGGGCGGGACAAAGCCCAGCATTTATCCAATGAGCGTCTAGTTTCGCTGCTGGAACAACCCACTTTGAGCTTTCACATTGAAGTCAGCAGAAGCCCAGCGTCCGGCTGTTTGAAGCGCTGAGGCGCTGCGAGGATGAATGAGAACGAAGTTATGCCGGTTACCTGTGATTATCAGCTTCTTATCACAGTGTCTGAACAAAAGATGAAGGCTTTCTAGTGCGTATTTAGTTAATGAAATGTACACACAGCCGTACGTATTTCACCACTTTTTCTTTTTTTGGGGGGTGACATTTTAAGGGAAGCCGAGCTTCCCTTGCAGTCTTAGAGCAATCGCCACTGCTCTCGAGGGTGGGTGGACATGCAAAGAGGTCTACAGTTTGGTTCTGTATCACTGAAGCGATTTCCCATCAATCATCTGTTCAAGTAAGTGGGTCCAGACTGGGCTGGAAAGTGGGTACTGTGGGTTTGTAATACAGTCCACAGGCTCCATGTTGGTTTAATGCAAACTATCCATTTGGATGTTGGGTGAGACCCAACCAGGCAAAATAAAGAAAGGGGCGTTCACACCAAGCGTGAGAAAAATCTTCTACTCACTTCATCAGTGCGTCAACAGACTGCTTAGCCATGGTTAGCCGTTTGTGCTAACTTCAACAGTGATCCTCGCCAATTAACCAGCGGGATCAAATGATAGACTACGTTCTTTCACAAGTTACCAGATAATCTGACCTCCTCACTCACTTTCCTCCAGGTGACCTTCATTTTTCCTGGTTTTATTAAAGCCGTGAATCCGAGAGAGGGGGAGAGTCTCCGTCAAACATGGTAGGAGTGAACCACATTCAGCGGATTGTTGTTTTGTTTTTGTCGTGTTAGGACCACAACCATCGGAGATGTAGGCGCCGGCGTGTCTGGGTCTCCTTCAATAGCTGCGCCTGGACGGTTATTCCCAGCGGTATTTTTGGTTACCCAAACGAAATTTGACGACCTGTTGTTGAGGGTCGGTGCCAGGATATCCCTCCAGGATACCGATTACAGGCGCTCTATCCCAGCTGTAGAGCGTCTGTCCATCTGTCTACTGTGAGGAAAAGGATTTGTGTTTCTATTTTCACACCAGTCAACATCTTCAGGTCTGTTTTCATACGTCACCCAGGAATCTTCATGCTGATTGGTTATCGTGGTGCAAAAATCTGCTCAAGTTGCGATGCAGTTTGCGTCCACTCAATTCGCGCCGCCCAGTCTTTGCATTGACTTTACATGTAATTCATTCGCGCGACTGATTTTACTCGCGCTTCGTGTGAACGCCCCTTTAGACCCATCCCATCCAGTTAATAATATGAGGAGGCGGAGTTTAGTTCAGTCATATGTGTTGTACGTTGGTTTGCTGACAGATTTAATAATGGTCTGATGAAAACGACCCATATGGGTTTAAAGAAGAGAGGAAGGAAGGGAGGAGAAAAAGGGAAAATGAAAGGAAGGAAGGAAGGAAATTGAAGAGGAACTGTCCTGTAGTGCGTAATGCATTCGCTGCACCAACTTAAAAAGGATGCATCATTTTATTTATCAATAATTTGTTTCTTCTTCTAAAATAATCAGGAAATGCAGGAAAAATGCCTAAAAGTTTATTTTGGCTCCATGCCCCGCAGAACGGGTTTTTAAGAGTCAGTATTAATGCAGAAGCAAATGAGCTAATGCTCTTTATGGTCCTGTACGCTGAACTAAATCCTCTGTAATCAAATCATCTAAAAGCAAACAATACAAAAAGAACTGAGGGGTTTGGGTTGTTTTCAGTCCTGTCAGTCCCAAAACCACCAGACTCTAAAGACTCGAGCAGAGTAGAGAGAGGGAGTACTTTTGGGGGTCAGCAGCTCTGATGTCTGGAGTCTCAGGGCCGGAGAAATCAGTGGGACAATCTCTTTGGAGCTTGAGGAGGTTTGGAGGAGCATAATCAACCCTCCCCTCACATTTAATGATAAAGTCTCTATGGTAACAGAGGAGTTCAGAGCCCCCGTCAAAGAGATCAAACGGTCCATCTCAGCCGCTGCTGCCCTTCAGCCGACTCCCTCGGAGCTCAGAGCCCCCGAGCAGAGACCAGCGCACTTCTGCAGATCCTCTTTCACCCCCTAATACCTCAAACATTCGCTCTATAGTGCTGAATATATCTGACTGAGCTCTGTGTGATAAAACCAGACGGTAAACAAACACACACCTGCCCCACGACTCTGCGTAATATCCCTTTAGAGCTTGTTTATAAAGTAGCTTAATTCAGTGACCTGCATCACGGCCTGTTCTGCTCGCCTGCTCAGTTTTCAACTCTTCTGTCAACAATGGAGGCGACCAAAGCTGATAACAAGAACAGAACAGAACTAAGAGGTGACGATGCAGATCTCCAAATCCACTTACTCACACTTTAGGGGGGTCACTTCCTGCTCGCCTCCAAAAATAGCTCATGAGGTTCGCTGATGTGTGACAGGAGCCGGTAAAAGGTTTTGCTAGTAGGTGTGCTGTTAATGACATTGGTGACGGATCAGCTTCTGTTTCCTGTTCTCATTCATACAAATATCCAGAATGTTTGTATGATGGAAAACTGTCCGACAACATCCTGATAACCAGAGATTACACAATAATTAACATAACATGCAGCCAATGCAGTTCATGACAACTTGTAAAAGTTCCCTATGGGCTTAATCCATTCAGTGCCAATGATGGATTTTGACGGATTTTTCAATTTTTTAGTTTTCCGCCAGAGGGCGCTCCTCCCCAATATGCGACTTAGTTTGGGGTCGTTCTGGATGCAGAAAAGTCGACAAATACGTCGTAACCATGTGACAATAATAAAAACAAGTAGTCGCCATCAAGTGTGCCTGTTAGCCGAGTTGTGGAATTTTTTTTTCTCTATGAGGGGAATCGGAAAATGCCGAAGTCATCAGCCAAGAGCTAACGGTCTCGGCGCAACCGCTCCCATGGGTGCGGTGCTACCATCTGTGGATCCAGTGGAGATCTTGGTAGCGGACCTTCACTTCGTCAGCCGATAATCAAAGAAACAAGTTTCCGGCGTGACGTTGTGCCGCCGGTGCCGGGAAGCAGTCCGTGTGGTTTACGTCACGGCGTCAGGTTCGAAACCCGAGAGTGATGAGGAGTGGTGTTCGAGGAGGGAGGAGCTTGATGTCACGGTAAAGTAGTTTGAAGTGAAATGAAATAGACGATCAGAGTTCTGCTTGAAAGTCTCTCCTTCGTAAAAATGTGTTTGTCCAGATCGTCAAAGATGATCTGACCACGCTGCACTGAGCAGACGATAACTAAGACATTCTGTGGGTCCTGAAAGACACAGAAATCTCTATTGTGGTCAACGGTGGCACTTGGTGAAAATTGCGTCAGTGAAAAAGCCACTGAATGAGTTAAATAACAATCCGTGTGAGCGACTTCTTTCACCAGGTAACCGTCCTTGGCACAACTTCAGAATAAAAGCAAGTATAGTGAAAGTTTGTCCTTCTGCTTAGAAAATCAATCCAGATAAACAACCACAACATATTTCTCATGTTTGTGACATAAACACAGCTTTAACAGAGCGTCCTCCGCCTGTCGTATCTCTGCTGAGATCTGCTCAGCGTGGAAAAAAAGGAAGCAGGTGAGATATGCTGCTCATGCCAGAGGTCTAAACAGCTAAATCCGATCATATGCACGCCAAATTCAAGCTGTTCCAGGGCTGTCACGCAGCCAACCTGCTTCCTGCATGACAGCCGGGGCCGGGTCCAGTCTGCTGTGGAAACAAGAGCAGAACCAGACCTCTTGGTAGAAATGCATCATGATAATAAGAGGACAGGACACCTGGCACTGAAATGAAGAGCCAGAAAAAGACTGTCAGAGCCGGACTAAACCCATTCCTCACCAGACTATCGGACAGATATTACCACAGAGTTCACTCTCTTTCTGCCACTTACAGTCTTTGAAGAAGAACTCCATTAAGTCAGGTGTTCGGAAGTCCAGACATGTCCCCATAAATCTGATTGCCGGGGTACAGCTGTAGAGAGCGGCTGCGTGATGAGGAGTGTGTTCGGCGGTAAATTTGAGGATTTATGAATTCAGCCAGTAGATCAGGCCTGCGGCGAGAAACATGGTTTTATTTACCAGACAGTAAGCGGTCGCAGCAGGGCTGAGCCTCGGGCAGATGTGTCTCTGCTGTGAAATATCGGAGCGGAGAGGGTGGGTGTCAGTCAGATGGAAAAACCATATCAGCAGGCGGCAGAAACACACTGGTTTTTATGGTCCTCATAATCTTCATGACTTCACTTAATACTCCTAAAAATCGTTACGTCGTGGAGCTTAATTACACCGACTGGGAGTTCAGATCTTTGTGGTTTCTACACCGAAGTTTAATGTGGCGGAGTCGGCTGGTGAACCACATTTAGGCGGATAATCTGACCGCCTTCCTGTTTTATAAACTCGACTCCTTTAGGACAGATTTATGCACAGAGGCAAATCAAACAGAAACGACACCATAACCAAAGTTTGTATACTGAGAGCAGTCAGGGGGGAACTTTGTTGTTGGAGGGACATTGAGAAAATACTCTGTCTATGTTTGCATACTGGAGCTTTAATCAAAACCAGGAATCCAGAAGGTATTTTTTCAAAACGGGTCTGATTGCAGATCTCCATCGAGCGGACCGGAAGTTAAAGGTGGGGTAGGCAGGAATCCGTTAAAGAAGCATCTTTTTTTTTGTGGTGTATAAACAAAAAAAATATCAGTCAATAGTTATTAGTTATTGATGACATTTGCTAATATAACGATATCTCTGTGTTCTCTTATGTCTGTGTCGTCAACATTTGAACATTTTTGAGCGGTCCGCTCTTTCTGACCGTAAACAAAGCCGTTCTCCACCTCCTCTAACCTGATTGGTTGTGAGGCAGACGCTCAATATGCGTCGATACCGATATTGATCTGATATTGGCACAAACTTATACATGACAAGTTTTTTCACTCAGTTTCAACATCTTTTTCAGACTTTAATAAAAAACACTTCCACATGGCCGACATCCCTCCTACTCCTCTCTACTTTGTTCGTACATTAGTACACCCTGTTGTCCTGGTTACGGGTCTCTGCATGCTGCTAAAGAGAGGTGCTGGAGTCTGGAATGGACTGCTTGTATCAGAGTGCTGAAATCAGAGATTTTTGATGCAGATATAATCTGATATTTGATTTTTTGCTGATATCAGACCGATATCTGATATGAGTATCGTATGGGGACATCCCTATTTTGGTAACGCTTTCTTTTACGGTAAACTTATTACCAGGTCATTACATAGTAACAACATGAAATTATCTGGTAATTACATGATAACTACTAAGTCAATACTGTCTATCTACCAGGTAGGTAACCTTCCATCATCATACAGATTTGAAGCTGAATTTCTCTGGTATCTCCAGGATTTTTTACGCTTCCTGGAACCACCTCTTGCGCAGTAGCGTTGTACGCATTCGGCGGGTGAGTCGCTGTGATAACGCTCGGCTCAAACAGCGTATCGCTACGCAATCTTCGCACGCCCATAGGCTGTATCAAGTGTCAATTATAGAAAATAAGAACCCCAAACAGCTTTTGGAAATGGAAAAACTAGACAGTATTGACTTATTAGTTATCATGTAATTACCAGATAATTTCATGTTGTTACTAGTTAATTACCTGTTAATTAGCTGGTTATAAGTTTACCGTAAAAGGAAGGGTTCCCCCTGTTTTTTATACAGTCATGCAGTCAGAAATCATCCTGTCAGTGTTTTTAAACAGGCAGATCATCCTGAGGGCACTTTTTCCTGTTTTACATACGAGCCACATTTTCCATCCTGTTATACTGGAAGAGCATCAAGTTGGTGTGTCATGTTTTTTCACTGAAAGGGCAGCCAATAGGAGACAGCCGCCATGTTTTTCTCAACAGGAAGGCATCAGGAGGTTCGACCCCCTCAGGTCCACCACTGCCCTTAGCCGGGAGCAGGATCTCTGCAGGCTGACCGGACCTGGTGTGTCTCATGGTTTTGTCCCCAGACGGTTCATTTCTAGCCCGGCAGTGTTATTTTCTATGGGGTCACAGAAAGTGACTGATTCTCAATTGCTTTTCCCTGAGCGTGCCCTTTGACCCCTCCCTCCCTCAGGAGCCTAGCCATGGAGCGGTTCACCTTCACAGGAGCCGGCTCTGCTCCTCTGAATTACAGCCTTTTCTGTTTGTACGGTTTGATGCTGCAATTTCAGGTTTCCTTCAGATCGAATGTCACTGAAAAAAAAGAAATTTTTCAGGAGTGTGGAAATGTAGAAAACTGGTAAAAAGTGAAGGTTTTATCTGTGAATGTCGGTCATAAAATCCATCACACATTTACACATTAGAGGCTATTACAAGATTATGTCTCGTATTCAACAGCTGATCTTTAAACTAATCCATTCATAAACATTATATAACTAAAATGTGCTTTTATCTGTGTGTTGATATTGTTGCCGACATTCAGCTTTCATCGTCTCTTCGACACTGAGAGTCGGTTCACGCTCACTGAGTAGGTAGATGAGTCTTTTGTCAAGGTCGACATATATCTCAATGTGTCTGCTTTCAGGAGGAATGAGTCAGGAGGAGAGCTCATACGACACGTACACTTATCAGGCCTTTTCATGCAAATTAGAGCAGCCGCAGATGGCGAGCTGTGATGAACGCTGGCCTAACTTTGACAATCGACTGAACCGTCAAAAATCAGATCAGTGACGGCCGGTTGTCACGGCACAGAAGTTTGATGTTTTTCAGTTCATGTTCATAATGATTCTGTGATATTAGCTGGACTCTATATATATATGAAGTATCACTGCCTTGCACGATTGAGAACCATTTTGATCGCCTACTTTACATAATCGAGCAACAATAACTCCAATTTTCTTAACTGGAGGCTTTTCCTTCCAAATAAAGCTTCAATGGAGAGGCATGGTGCCAAGTGCAAAGCGCTTTAGGAGATTGGTTTTAATAAAAAAAAAAAAAAAACAGCTCCCTTCACATCCTTCAACCTTTTCTGTTTTCAGGATGGTCATTGTCTGACTTAGTTAAATTTACCGCAAGATTTGTTCTGCCTTTTGTTTAACGTTTCCTCCGTCTCGATGGTGACGTCTCCCCTCCACTTCAGAGGATGTTTAAATACTCTAATAACGGATTATGGGTTTCTCTTATTCCTGCAGGGAACACATGGAATTATTAATGCAGACTCCCACTGAAGTGTGAAATTAGCTCTGTGTTATCGACTTATTATGCAAAATAAAGGCTTGAGGTTTTTTCTTCCTTTTTATTAAAAAAAAAAAAGAAAAAAAAATTTATTTCATTATTTTTCTCTTGGATTATAGAAAAGACTCGCTATTGTTTGGACATCCTGATATGTGATACAGTTCAGTTCCAGCACGGCAAAGCTCTGTGGAAAAAGTGGAACCGGACTCTCCTGCTGGAACTTTAATTAAAATGCCGAAGGTGTGATATTTAGAGACGCTGGTGCTGATGACCCTGAACCATCAGAAAACAGCTTCTCTGTTGTAATTAACGGCTCTGCTCTATGAGAGGTTCAGACGAGGGCGAAAATAAAATCCTGATTTTTTTCATGATTTCAGTGACAACTTCACCAAACTTCACTTTAGTAAAAGTTTTTCTATCATCTCTCAGAACAAAACCACTGACGACAATGTAGTGCATATGCCAAGCCAGTAACGCTGCACAGGAAATGCACAAAAGACAGAAGAAGAGTACAGAGCATGTGTATAAAGGTTGTTTTGGCGCCATAAAAGAGTTACTCTGTGTGTCACATGATCGTTTCCAGAGATGCAGATAGACATCCACACGGAGATGAAATGGTCGTTGTGAAACGCCGTTTCTGTGTGGATGAAACGCCGATACGACAAAAAACTTTAGCGTTTCCTCCTGAATTCGTTTCCGTGGTGACGGGTTGATACCGCCTTCAGACAGACTTTACAGCGGGGAGTGGTTTACTCTTCATCTGAAACTGTGAAGTCGTACCAATTCAACACGACTGACTCGCTCTTGTCCTATTTAACCACGAAATTATCTTTTAGCAGACGCCATGTTTGTTTACACTGGTGTGTTTACACGGTGGCCTGAAGGACGGAAGAGGATTAGGGCCACGTGAAGAGACAAAAAAATAACAGGAAGGAGATTAAAGTCGAAATTTCTGGATTAATAAAAATCCATATGTCATTAAAGTCGAAATTTTTTAGGTTAAAAATTTAATTTTCTCGATTAAAGTTGAAATTTCGACATTAAGGTCAAAATGAATAAAGTTAAAATTTTGGCTTTTATTAATTTCGGCTTTATTTTCAAAATTTTAACTTTAATCTCGAAATGGAAATTTAAAAAAATCTCCTCCTGTAATTATTTTTTCTCTTCTTGTTGCCCTAATCCTCCTTAGTCTGATCGAGAGGAAAATCGATTTGATTATTAAAAATGTTTTTAACATCGTCATAATCAAATAATCCGATTACAATCTAAAATTGTTTAATCGTTGAGTCCTAATTGAGACATATTCCTAAATGAAATGAGAATGTGAAACACACCCCGTCGATGTTCATCAGGAGAGCCGGAGGAAACTTTGTAAAATCCTTCAGAGGAGTCTCTGCTTCAGTCAAAATCTGGTGTTTACGACCCGGGAGTCCTGAATCACCTCACATGCCCGGAGGCGGTAACAAAGAGCAGAATAAATGTGAGGATAATTGAGCGCTTTTGTAAGAGCTTATAATGTGATTCTTCTTAATGGAAAAATGGGTTATACCAGCCAGGTGAATTGCAATAAGGGTTTAGAGAGACGGGGGAGAAGCAAATGTGAGGCGTGTCGACTGCATGATGAAGGAAATGAAATATAGTCAGGATCCAGAGTCTGGTCTGGATATGAGCTCGGGGTAGATAACTCAGTCCAAATGTGCTTTCAGGTGGAAGGTCACTCACTCGAGTACTCACTAAGTCAGTTAGACCTCCAAAATGGACTGATGTACCCGCCACACTAACAGCCTGCTCCGGCTGATTTACTGCGCTGGGACTACAGGGTTACAAACTCTGCCGCTCTGTTTGACAAAACTGACAAACTCCGCCAAAGTTTCGCTCCACCCAGTCCATCAACGGTTCATATTTTCCAGGGTTCAAAATAACGCCGTTTCACCCGCATCAATCTCAGAACTCATCACAACTTTTCGGTACTTTGGTGTAAGTCAGAGCTTACTAAAATGACTTCTACCCTGACACAGCAGTCTCTTCCATCAGTGAGTGAATGTGGTACCGTTGATTTCCCCGTCAAAACACCCTCTTCAGCTCTGATTACTCATCCGTCTGTCTGCATACGGAAATCAGAGCCAGGAGTGGGCTGCATAAAAATGATAGGATCCCTCACTTACACCGTGGAGGGTGGGTTGGTGGTCCGGGGAGAGTCGAAGTGAACGAAGACGTCATCGCTCTGGTAGTATCCAGGGTTTGACGCACCGTTCGTTGATTACGGTGCCTAGATGATATAGAGGCCTGTGAAAACATGATAGGTCAGTGCAACATACATGCAGAGTCTGTAAGTCCTGTGCATAAATTAAGTATAAAGTTATATAAAGTCATTTAAAACTAATGAAGCAGTCTGAGGCGATGCGAAATATTCAGCTTGTGCCTTTTCCTATACACACCCGATGCAGCGCGAATAAAATTAGCATAAAAATATGGTCTGAGATTTACGGGAGAACAGAGGGTGAGAGAGGAAGGAGAAACAACGGCGACTACATCCTCAAGTGACGATGACCTGGTCAGGGCTGTGAGACGATGAAATAACAAAAAGAAAAAGAAGGATCCAAGTGTCTGCGTACATCCAAAACTGACCTTAATACAGACGAGCTCCACACGACGATCCAGGAGCTCAAATTGTTTCCCGAGAATCTCCGACAATATTTCGACAATTTGAAGATCTGCTCCATCGGCTGATCCATCAGCTGACTCCACGTTTGCAGAAGGAGAGGACAAATTACAGAGTCAATTGATCCAGAGCAATGGCTTGCCACATGTCTGAGGTAAGATTTATATTATAGATTTAAATCGCAGTTTGCCTTCGAATGTTCGCAAAATTCAGTTGCTTTTTCGCTCTGCAGAAGTTGGTAGTCAGTGTGGAAGCTTGTCTTGACTCAATGAGGTTTCTTTAAAAAAGTGGATTATTTTTATAATTATTGTTATAATTTGTCTGTCCTTAATCTGCAAACACACGTACGGCATGGATCGGGAAATTTAAATAAATAAAATCTGTTATGGAAACACGGAGCGTGTGACTTACTTTCGGAAATTTCCTTCTGCAGGGTAATAACTTGTGTTTTTGGTGACACTACATTTGGTGGAACAACAGCCTCATAAACACGGCAGATTTTACAGACAATTGAATGGACAAAATTATTATAAGATAATAATAATTATTTTCTTCGCTAATTCGCCGCTGTGTAACAACCTTTACTTCACCTGTATCAAATATCCAAGAAGAGTGATAAAATTCACTTAAAAAAGACAAAAAGAGGAGATTATTTGATTTATTCACCAAAGTTTACCAGGATAAGACAAAATAAGCAAAAATATAAGGGTTAACACTTTGTCCACAGGGGGCGCCAAAGTCATCACAGACAGAAAGATCCTCACAGGAGCTTTAAATGAAGTTTAGCTCTACTGGAGAGCATGACGTTGATTAACATGTTTGTTCCTGAATTGTTTAGTATCCTCAATAACGGATGAAAAAGTACAAAAATCGCCCGTCTGATCACGTCAACAACAACTGAAAGTTCGGATCTTCCTCAGAGTAGAATCTGCTGGATTGGATCCGATCGCTCAGGTGTTTATTCTGCTGTGGCAGGTGAGATTCGTCTCTAATCCTCCACACAACAAAAGCTTGAGGGTTAATTTGAGAACAAAGTTCAATGTGAGGACAGGAGGGAGTGAATTTCTCCACATCATAAACTTTGGAGTCTCGTTCTTGATTAGCTCTCGTGTGATTTTGCTCGGTCTCTCATCTGTCAGTCAAATTGATGCTTGTTGCTCTCGGCCACCTGAGCCTGCGGAGTCTGTAAACAGACATGGTGGACCGTCTGTTAGAGAAGAGAGACGAGGACTGCTTTAGTCACAGAGCAGAACATGTCCTCTACAGTCTGATGAAGAAATCTGAATACTTAAATCCATCATTAAATCTTCATCAAGGTAACTACTCACCTGTGACCCATTTCAATTTAAGACTCAACCTTTTGGCGCTGCGTGGTTCCCAATTAACATGATTTTACCTGCTTTTTTCCCGTCTGAAGCGCTGCAATAAAGAGAAATTTACTGCTGTGGAAATCTCCCGTCAGTCATCAACGTCTAACACAAAAGAAGAAGAAGGGGGACTTTTGTACAGATCCTTGGACTCTGAAAAGCCTCGAAAGTGGACCTCTTTGTGTGCGTTTCACCTGCGGCAGCACAGCCAGTCTTGCACAGACTGTTATGATCCTTAATAGCGCTATTTTTGTCCTAAAGGCAGCCTCAGGGAGAGGAGAGGAGGAGAGGAAAGGAGGCGAAGAGACAGAAACAAGGAGCTGCCATGGGCTCTCTGTGCAGCATTGTGTTGTTGGGGTGAGCAGCTCTCTGATGGGGTCACTGCAGGAGACGAGCGGAGGGCTGATAGCACCCAACCCTGACTAGGATTATCCTTTTCTCAGATCTTTTCATTTTCATATGCTGGTGCAGAGGAAATAAGGGCGGCTGTTGGGAGGCGCTGTCAGCTCCTTTATTCTGCAGGTTATATCTGTTCCACCTCGAGGTTCCTCCATCAAAGATTAAAGCTGATGGCAGCCAATATAAGAGCCGGCGGGGAAGCCGTGCTTTAAAAGTCGACTTTAATTTCTCAAACAGATTTTGAGGAAGAAAGTCGTTTAAATACGAAGCTTTAAAGGTTATTCAACACCAACAGTGACGAACTTTCAAAGCTTATTTCCAGACGCTTGGAAGGACACTCCGGATACAGCAGGAGTAAATCAACAGAACCAGGAGCCAGAAAGCTGTCCACCTTAAAGTTGATGTCCGGACTAGCCTGGGGAACAGCAAACCCCCTGTGACCCCCTCTTACATCCATTCATACATATTTTAAACTGTTTGGGCCGCTCGGAGTCGCAGAGGGAGTTGAGTTATTTCAAGACGACAGGGGGCAGGAGGTCAGACACGAGTTAGCATACGAGAAGACAATCGGTTTCACTGTAACCTTCACTTCTTAGAGAGACACTCTGTCACAGTGTCGGGAACATTTTGTTTTATATTTTTAAAATGTCACGCTGAGATAATATCCTGATGACAAGTTCACAGAAACACTTTTAATGGGGCGTCTAAAAAACAGAAAAATGAAGACTTGGAAAAAGACTCTAAAGAGAAGATCGTGAACCGTCCACCCTCCACTGTGAGCGAGTCGATCTCTGCTAACACGAGGTTGTGTTGAGGTAGTGTTAGCATTTTAAGCATTACAAATACACACAAATATGTTGTTTGTTTATGAACTGTATGGATAATATAGTACTTTATTTTATTAATTAAATTTTGGATCCTTTTATTTGATTATTATGTGAGTAAAAGTGTTTATAAGTACTCACATTTCTTATCAATCACATGCCTTTATTGAAATCTTGGTTCTTATTGATCAAAACGTCCAAGAAAGAAGTCCAGCACATGTTTATAAAATTAAAGCTCCTGTGACGACCTTTCTGTCCGTGTTGATTATAGTGCCCCCTACAGGCAAACAGGTAACCCTTCTATTATTGTTTCTGATTTCACCTCATCCTAGTGAAATTTGCGTTAACAGACAAAAAAAAACTCCCTTTGACGGTGAAACGCAAAAGTTACAGACATCTTCACACCAACGCTCTCATTTGCTTTTTTTCTAACATCATAATGATGTTCATTGAAGTCTGTTTCATGACCTTTAAAAACTCCTCACTGGAGCTTTAATGACTTCACCTCCTCCTGTTGTTAAAATGATAAAAACCGGTCCTGGAACAGAAACCCAGCAGCATCAGGTCTTCATGCTTTTTCATCGACCAACTGTTTTGGGAAAATATGCTCATTTCAGCCATCAGTGCAGCTCTTAAATCCTAATTATGGGGGATTTTTCCAGTAAAGCCGTTGTTACCGGGTCACCGCTGCAGCTAATCTTCTGTATTCTCTCCTGCTTCGTACCTGAAGGACAGGAAGCAGCTATTCCTGGAGCTCATTTGTCTCCATCACTTCACAACGAGGCTTTATCGAAGCTCTACGGCCAAGCAAATCTCAGCAGGTTGTCATTTCCTTTTGGTACCAAGTCATAAAATCTTGTTTCTGCTTCACTTAATTTGTATATGAAGTATTGGAAATCGGTGATGGAGGCGACACACACCAGAGTACTTACCGAGCCTGAGAGATCTACAGGAGCTCTGCCCCCCCACTTCAGGCCGCGCCGAGTCCATCAACCAGGAAATATGAAATGACTGAAAAAAAGAGGAAGGAGAGACTTTTATCATTGCTTTAGCTCATGTACCTGAAATAAGATGCACACACACACACAAACAGGAGCACTGTTCCTCCTATCTGAGCTGTTGCATATGGAGGTACAAGGAAGCGTTATCAGTTACTTTCAAAATAAAAGACTCAGCGCCCTGAAGAAAGTGCATTTTAAGGTTGATCTTGGATAACATGCATTTGTCTGCATGTGTTGGCGGGGATTACCTGACTGCCCACCTGGTGTCAACTCTGAAAAAGCTTTTTCAGTGGGCTGGATGTCAACACAACAGTATCGCTTCGATCTCTCATCTGCTGCGGTATGCGTGTGCATGTCCGGACTATCAAATACCGCAAGTATGAAACTGTTTTCAACGCTGGAAAAACTAACAGGAAGACTGTTTGCTCTGCTGCTGTCAGAAGCCTCAGATAAAGTAGATCATGAATTTCTTCAAACATGAAAAATAAATAACAGGAAGCTGTTTGTTCGCCGGCCAAACCACAGAGGCGTGTGTGCGTGTGAAGAACAGAGACAATGCAACCTCTGTGTTTAATGTGATCTCACAATAATTGCTTGTTTTTCATCTCTGAAGGTCCTTGATGAAAAAGTACAGAACACACACCAACTAACACACAAGTAATTCAAACCCAGAGAAAAACACACAACCAACACACTTCCAGTCATGAAGTGTCAAACGAAGTCTGCACTTTGGTATAATTTGTACCGCAACACTCCTCTACAGACGACTCTTAATCCTCAGACTTGTGACCTGACAAGATAATTGTGAAACACAGGGCGGTAAACTGCTTCAGTTAAAAAGTGTAGGCTGGGTAAATACTCCGTGACTGGATGTCGTTTGAATCAATAACTCCTCCGCTCGCCGTCAAAACACGAGACGAAGTGAGCGACTCCTCCGGTCAAAACACGGTTCAGGAGATGATCTTCAGTTAATAAGCAGCCGGACGGAGCCTCAGCTGAAACTGTCTGTTCAGAGGAGGGTCAGTGTAAGCAGAAGTACTGAGCCCACAAATAGCACCACTAATTTACAACAGACGAAATAATGTCTTTTCTTTTTTTCAGTTAAACTTTATTTGCTGTTTTCAGTTACGTCGATTTTTTCCATTATAGCTAACTGTCATCCTTCTTGGTCTTTCCACCGTAACCAACAACTGGACAATTGTTTGTGCATTGACATTAGGGCTGGGCGATAAAACGATAACATTGAAAATTAATTCCCCTCAATATCAATATAAAATATGGTCAATATGCTTTTCAATAGTCGGCATTCCGCCATGTTTTGGTGGACTACACGATTAGCCAATGAAAAGGGGAGTTTCTGTGGGTCCACCTCCTGCTGAACCAATCAGGCTAAATTAGAACCAAGTATCAAACAACTGCGTCGTAGCAGACAGCAGCTACACGCAACTATAGCACTGTAACCCCGAAAACAGCCGACCATTCGACAAAATGTCCTCACAGATGTAGTAGCTTATTGTATTGCAAAAGAAATGCAACCAACAAGCAAAGTAAAATTTTATTTTATATACCGTGATATATACCGATATCGCCTGATATGAAAAAAATATTGTGATAAACTTTTTCCTATATCGCCCAGCCCTAATTGACATTATCAAAAATCTTCTTTCAGATGCTAAAATTGGATTAACTTTCCTTAGCAACAGCTTGTTCTGCTTAGCAACGGTCTGCTATCAATAAATAACAGACCACCTTTATTAATAGAGGTTATCTCACAGGAACAGGAGTCACATTTACAAGATCAAGCACTCAACACACCTGTGGGATATATGCCATTCATCTAACTAAGAAAGGGGAAGTTTGCCACGGGTTATAATACCTTTAAAGTCGAAAGTAGCAGGTAACAGACGTGATTATTTTCCTCTACAATCCAAAGTTTTGTAGCAGTGTAAAACTTAGCACACACAGGCTTTTTTCAGCTCTTGGGCAGGAACGTGCAGTTTGTTTTAAATGTACAATAAAAAAATCAATAATCATTTACTGTACCAATGCTTTTGAGCAAATGTCTGCAGGATGGCGAAAAAGACCTTTTTATTTGGCCCTAAAGTCAGACCGAGCCATAAAAAGTTTAAGAAGGAGAAATAAACTCCATTTGGATGAAAACACATCAATCCAGGATCTAGAAGTGGCTTTCTAATGGATTTTCTGTCACTCTGTTTACTCAGGGATTGAAAGCGAAAGATCTCAACCTCAAAAGTTGAATATTTATCAAACAAGGTTCTCTTATATCCCCTGACTTTTCCCAAAACCCTAAAAATGAAGTTGTCTTGTGAAAAAAACGACCACCAGATAATTGATCTTTAAAATTTTCCACTGACTGCTCAAAAAGATGAATCGGCTTACATTCTTTTTTTCTAAATCCGCACCTGTAGTTTCTGTCAACTTCTACCCCTGGTCCTCAATCACTGATATGACCTCAACTAACTGGACATTTTAGGACGGATTGGATTGTAAAGGTGCATCAAAGGTAACAGACTCATCCTTTGTGGCCCAACGCATCCTGATATTGTTCGCTAACTCAAACTAGACAGCGAAGTCTGGAGCCGCCAGGTGTTACAAATTTCAGTGTAATACATAGATTAACTCAACAGTGTGGTAACCGACACGAATGTTAATATCAGACAACTTTTAGATTATGTTAAAATCATCTTAAAAATGATGAACAAGGCATGTGATGCTAACTACATTTGTTAGTTAGCCAGCTAGCTAACTGCTACCAGGCAACATGGGATGGCACTTGGTGGAGCAAATCTAACAGGGAGAAGAGCTGTCATCTGTCAGGCTAAATAACTTAAGTTTTACTTTCGTTCCAGCTCGTTAGCTTGATTTGACAAATCATGCTAGCACCTGGGGAAACTGGCAAGGTTACTTTCCCGCCAAATTTTATGACTCCAGTTGTGTTTCCAGCTGGAGTCATCAAAAGACCAAAATGCTGATTCATGTACCTGTCAGTCATTTATGATAAGAGGCTGAGAGTTTACGACCTTAAAAATTGAACAGTAAAGCAAAGGAAATCATCAAAACGAAGAACAAGGCATTTGACGCTAACCCTTTTTGTTAGTTAGCCAGCTAGCTAACTGTTGCCAGGTGGCACTTTCGGGACATGTTAGCATACTTATGGGTGACTTTGCATGCTTCAGAGCTCAGAACAGGTTAAAAGTTCAACTAACTTTATGATAAAAGGCTGAGAGTTAACAACCTTAAAAGTTAAACAGGAGAAGCTAAGGAAATTATCAAAACAAAGAACAAGGCATGTGAAGCTAACGCTTTTTGTTAGTTAGCCAGCTAGCTAACTGCTACAAGGTGACAGGGGTGGCACTTAATGGAGCAAATCTAACGAGGAGAAGAGCTGTCATCTTTAGGCCAAATAATTTCACTTTCACTTTCATCCCAGCTCGTTAGCTTGATTTGACAAATTATGCTAGCACCTGGGGAAACTAGCAAGGTTACCTTCCCGCCGAATTTTATGACTCCAGCTGTGTTTCCAGCTGGAGTCATCAAAAGACCAAAATGCTGATTCATGTACCTGTCAGTCATTTATGATAAGAGGCTGAGAGTTTACGACCTTAAAAATTAAACAGTAAAGCAAAGGAAATCATAAAAACGAAGAACAAGGCATGTGACGCTAACGCTTTTTGTTAGTTAGCCAGCTAGCTAACCGTTGCCAGGTGACAGGGATGGCACTTTCGGGACATGTTAGCATACTTATGGGTGACTTTGCATGCTTCGGAGCTCAGAACAGGTTAAAAGTTCAACTAACTTTATGATAAAAGGCTGAGAGTTAACAACCTTAAAAATTAAACAGGAGAAGCTAAGGAAATTATCAAAACAGAGAACAAGGCATGTGAAGCTAACGCTTTTTGTTAGTTAGCCAGCTAGCTAACTGCTACCAGGTGTCGGGGGATGGCACTTAATGGAGGAAATCTAACAGAGAAAAGAGCTGAGGACACAAACAGGAAGCACTTAGCTCAGTCTCAGCAGTCTACATGGGCTAGCCTTCGGAACATGTTAGCATACTAATTGGACAACTTTGCATGCTGCCAACCTCAGAACAGGTTAAAAGTTTAACTGAATTTCCATCTCCATCTGTCAGGACAAATAACTTCAGTTTCACTTTCATCCCAGCTCGTTAGTTTGATTTGACAAGTTATGCTAGCACCTGGGGAAACTAGCAAGGTTACCTTCCCACCGAATTTTATGACTCCAGCTGCGTTACCAGCTGGAGTCAGCAAAAGACCAAAATGCTGATTCATGTACCTGTCAGTCATTTATGATAAGAGACTGAGAGTTTACGACCTTAAAGCAAAAGAACCAGCTGGGGGGTAGAGCTGTTGACAGATGGGTCACTCGCTCACAAACAGGTATTTTTTTCATTCACACTCCTGATTCGGTTATTGGTCTAAAGAGAAGATTGCCTCCAGGATGACAGATTTTATTCAAAGCTGCCACCAAGCTGAAGCTATTAAGACAGGCTGCAATAGAGCTCAGTGCTATAACAGCTGACTGCACAAAGCCAAGGCTGGCAGAATGCTTTCCATGTTTTAATTGTTTGTAATTGTAGTCATTATCATCCTTTGTAATCATGGCCGGTCTTTCTGTAATGAAAGAGTGAACTCTGATCATGCTTGCAGATGTTATGGTTTGGCTTTCCTCAATCTGCAAACACACGTACGGCTCAGATCAGGGGATTCAAACAAATAAAATCTGTTATGGAAACACCGAGCGCGTGACTTACATGGGAAATTTCCTTCTGCAGGGTAATAACTCATGTTTTTGGCTGCTCTACATTTGGTGGAACAACAGCCTCATAAACACGGCAGATTTTACAGACATCTAAATAGATGAAATAAGCTCCTTGGGTGCTTTTTTTCCTCCAAAAGTAAAGTTTTCCAGACTTCTCAGTCTTAATACATCCTGAAACTTCACCTCGCAGTCACGTTTATGACCCCGCTGAGCCCCTTAACATTTCATAAAGTGCTCTTCAAATCTGGTGCCACAGCTGTTTCACTCTCACCTACTCCATCAGGGCTGCTGTTTTCCTTTGACTTGAGCTGGTGGAGTAAATCAATACCCCAGCAGCCTTAGTCTGCAGTAATGTCGGAGTGACGCTGCAAACAACTGAAATCATCAGGGACAAAAACAGGAACAAGAAAATGAGTGGCAGAAGGTACACAAAGTCGCTCTGGGGAACTGATGAGCTATTACTGTTGAGCCGTAAACACACAGCTCGGTCCTAAAACTGGGATTTAAGTGGACGGTAAACATCAAGATTTCAGGGTGAAATTTCGATCTTCATGTCTAAATCTCTTCTTTCCTGAAGGACTGCAGGTGTTTGAGGGGTAAAAGTGAAATATAGCCACCATGTGGTCCTGACAGCACTTTGTTTTTCACCCTGTGACACGAAAATTGTTATGAACTCATTCAGTGTCAATGAAGGATTTTGACAGATTTTTTAATTTTTTTGTTTTCCACCAGGGGGCGCTCCTCCTCAACATGCGACTAAGAAATGCCGATAAATACATCATAACCACGTTACAATAACAAAAACAAATACTCACCAGAGAGAAGTGGGACATCAAGTGTGCCAATAAGACGAGTTATGGAGTGTTTTTTCTCAATGAGGAGAGTCGGAAAATGCCGAAGTCATTATCCAAGAGCTAACGGTCTCGGCACATTGGCTCTCTTGGGCGCGGTGCTACCGTCTCTGGATCCAGTGGAGATCTTGGTGCCGGACCTTCACATCCTCAGCAGACAATCACAGAAACAATTTCCAGGCGTGTCGTTGTGCCGCCGGTGTGGGTTCTGGTGAGCGAGACTAAGACGGAATTCAGCGACAGTCCCAGCGAGGAGGATGCGAGCAGTTGTTACAAAGTGACCTTACACGATCGGATCTGGAAAGTCATGAGGAGTGGTGTCCGAGGAGGGAGGAGCTTGATGCCATCGGAAAAATAGTTTGAAGTGAAATGAAAAAGACGATCAGAGTTCTGCTCTAAAGTCTCTCCTTCGTAAAAATGAGTTTTTCCAGATCAATTATACGACCGCACTGCACTGAGGAGGTGATAACTGAACACAGGAGTGGGTTAGAGACAAACTATTTTTGGGGTGATAGAAGAGAATCACTCCTTTCTTGAGATATTAATTCTAGTCCAAGCACAAGATATTCTGTAGGTCCTGAAAAATACGGAAATTTCTATTGCCGTCAATGGTGGCGCTGAATGAGTTAATGTTTGGATTACCGTGAAAGATTACAAATGTGGCCCACTATCTGTAACTAAAGCCAGACACCTGAGAGCCTGGCATACTCCCAAACTGTCTTTCAGAAAACATCAGAGGCGTCTGTTCACCTGCAAACACACGGATGAGTCTTTTATCAGTCAACGACGCGTGAACTGAGCATCAAGAAAGCAATCTGATGCATTTTTACAAGCTGAATAAGTGAAAACTAAGCACTGGAAAAGGCATCAAAATGTCTGAATTCAGTTGAGTTACCTCAGAGACTGACTTTTATAGTTAGACGCTTAATGTTAGCTCCACTTCCTAACCTACTGGACAGAATAAGACGAGATAGAAACGAAAATTTAATTGATAAACTGTTGAAATTGGTGATAAAGGAATAAATCACATTAGCAAACTTCGGGCTTTACTTTTAAGCAGATTAATGAAGTCGACTATCTGGGGAAACTACCTCTGTTCCGACCTACGAGAGGGGATCACAGGTGGGATAACTCGCCCTCCTCGCCACTTTGCCTCTCTGTGTGGCGGTCCAGTCAATGAGTGTAACCTGAACTCACATGTTAAAAGACTTTGCAGGTTTCTGGTCCAGAACGAGCCTATCCTCCAGAATAAAAGACTCTCTACGGCACACTGAACTCATGAACATTAAAAAAGCTAGTATCTCCTTTTCTGTGTGATGTGTTTTTCTGAAAAAGTATCCAATAGCTGCTTCCAACAATACAGAGCTTTTGTTCAGGCACGGACTGCCCCTCCGGCCAAACTAATTAAAGAGATGTAAACACTATAATAATGGAGAAAAAACCACATCACTGCACCGCCGTTATGTTCATTTCAGTCTTTTAAGTGGAATTGATTTGAAACAATGTCCAATTCCCCTCTTCTTTAACGTCGAGTCTCTGGCATCTTCTTGAATATTATTTTGCAGCATTTTTAGTTCACAGTTTACAGCCGTTATTGTGCTGTGCACCCCTCGGGCTAAGCTCTCCGGTGTTAAATGGCCCTTGTCTTGATGCGAAAAAAGGAAAATATGAAGATGGTAATGAAGGGAGAGGAGGAGGAAGAGAAACTGTCTATTGTTAGAACAAGTTTCTGACACTCATGCAGCTGTGACGCAAAGAGATGACCAAAATGAAGAGAAAGAAGGAATGAAGTGGAGAGAGAAGGAGAGAGGAGACGAGGATATTGAAGAGTGGGAAGAATAACTCAGAGAGATGAGAGTGTGTGGAGAAAAGATCTGAGAGAATCATAAAGGCCGGCTGTCTGAAGAAATGAAGCCAATCATGAGTTGAAGTGCCTCATCACGAGTCCAGGGGGGATATCTGAAACTGTGGGATGATATAGTGTGTGTGTGTGTGTGTGTGTGTGTGTGTGTGCACTCACCACATCTATGCTAGTGCTACAAGAGCCGGAAGACACTCTGCAAACAAAATTGTCTTCAGAGGGCTTTTGTCCTCCCAAGTTGACATTAAGTGCAGATGGAATGAAACGTCCTGAAACGTCGTCAGAGAAACACCGAGTCTCAGAAAATAAAGAGATTTTGTGGATAACAAACAATCATGTCAAAACAGCAGGAGAGGGAAGCAGGGGGAAGTAATTTGATTCAGAAATAGCTTCAGGAAGTGAGAGGTTGAAGAAATGGAGCATGTCGATGCTGTTAAGAGCTAAGTGATTTACAAACAGAGGCATCAATATTTGTCGACTTAATTACCTTTTTATCAAAAATGTGTCTGAACATAAATCTTCGTTCATTCAAGTCTCAGATGTTTCCACAGGAGAAATGTACATCACTCACTGATGTTTGATCAAGGTGGCGCTAGAGATTCATATGTCCCTCCAAAACCATCCAGGTGATCAGCTGATACTGGTAGTGTGAAGTGTCCTTCTCTTCACAAAAATTTGTGGCTCATTATAATAAAGATACAACCCATCAATATAAACCACACCATCATCAGCATAGAAAGAAGTCCAAAATTTCATTATAAAAGAGATACGACCATAAATGGAAATCACGGTATCATCAGTGTAGAAAGAAATCCCAAATTTGGCTTTAATAAAGATTCGACCCATCAACAGAAAGCACACGATCTTCAGCATAAAAAAACCCCAAATTTTATTTTAATAGATACGACCCATTGATTGAAATCACACTATTATCAGCAGAGAAAGAAATCTAAAATTTCATTATAAGAGAGATACGACCAATTAAATCGAAATCACACTATCATCAGCATATAAGGAAACCCAAAATTTCCTTATAATGGAGATATGACCTATCAATGGAAATCACACCATCGTCAGCGTAGAAACAAAATCAAAAATTTCAAAATAATAGAGATATGACCATAAATGGAAATCACCCTTTTATCAGCGTAGTAACAAATCCAAGATTTAGTTTTTTTATAGAGATACGACCCTCAGTGGAAATCACACCCTCATCAGCATAGAAAGAAATCCAAAATTATGTTATAATAGAGATACGAACATCAATAGTAATCACACTCTCATCAGCCTAGAAAGAAATTCATATTTTTGCTATAACAAAGATACAACCAATCAACAGAAATTACACTATCATCAGCCCAGAAAGAAATCCAAAATCATGTTATAATAGAGAACGACCCCTTCATGAAAATCACACGATCATCAGCATAGAAAGTAATCTAAAATTTTGGCCTCAAGTTGCAGCGTTTTCTGTAGACACTAATGGACAAATAGGAGGTCAAACTTATCATCATGTGCTTCTGTCCTCCTAAAAACAAGAGCATCCATTTCCCCATACAAAACACAACGGCTATTACATACCAGCCCTAATTAACCAAGTTTCTTATACTCTGCGGGTGCTGCTGCATATTTTGACAAATAAGCAGCATAAAAAAGCGGCACAAAGAAATGTGCAATCTATTATTTATTCAGTTACTGAGTCTGCTAAAGAGAGAGCTCCGCAGAAGCAGGGACAAGATATCATCTGGTCGACCCATAAAGACTCACAGAACGGGGGGTCTTTGGGGTCTTTCCAAGCATTAGAACAAAAAGCCAAGCAAGAAGGCAACCAGCAACGAGCTGGACCTCAAAATATGTGAGTGGATGCAAAGCATGCAGACACAGCATCTCAGGGAATCCTGCAAGAGCACCAGGGTGAGAACACCAGAGGACACCCGGCTCGATAGATTTCTCTTCTGCAACCATTTTTCTGTTCGGGCTCTTATTAAATAAAACAATAATATTATTATTCAAGACTCTTTTTTTATGCCTGGCAGGACTACTCTTTTGATTTGAAACACATAAGAGTATTATTTTATAGGAAAGTCTGAGGAATGTACTGGAGAGTCGAGGAGGACATGCTCCAAATACTAGAATTGATCTTGTGGCCAGTGTGGAGGGCTGTTATCTCTGTACATGAGATACCCACTCCACCAGCCGAGCTCCAGCCGCACCCCGACGTGCACCATCACCCTCCTCTAAGAGGTGAAAGATGAGCCGGCTGATGATAAGATTCTTTTCTTTGTGACTGAAATTCAGCAAAAACACTTCCTGCTTTTATACCTCGGCCTTTAAATCCAATATTTAGTTCAACTCACGTTCGGTGCGTTATCTCTAACCTGCACCATCAGCTGATATTCTCAGGCTCTGATTTATGCTAAGAATTACATTTTAGGTTTGAGGATTTCGCCATGTGAGAAAAAAATCATCTATTAATGTTTAAGGATTCAGGAGGTAATCTTTTTAGTTTTGTTAAAAAAATACGGAAACTGGCCTCATTTCATTTATAAGGACATATCTTACAAAGTACCTAAAGTGAACAAGTCATGATGGCGATATTATCTCCCTACAACATTCTCACGTTTTAGTGCAGACTGACTTCTTCTAACTCCAATATTAACACAATTCCAATTGCAGTTAAAGTTGAGGTAGGAAGGAATACGTTAAAGAAGCATCTTTTTTGTGGAGTAAATACAAAAAAGTGTTTAATATCAGTCAATAGTTATTAGTTATTGATGACATTTGGTAATATATCGATATCTCTGTGTTCTCTTATGTCTGTGTCGTCAACATTTGAACATTTTTGAGCGGTCCACTCTTTCTGACTGTAAACAAAGCCGTTCTCCACCTCCTCTAACCTGATTGGTTGTGAGGCAGACGCTGCTCCCCCGTGTCGTTCAGGAGCCCAAACAAAGTTAGCGTGCTACAATATCGGACAGTAGAAACCAACCAGAAAGTTCGGAAAATTGTCTGAATCCTCCTTTGGCCACGACTGCCGACACAAGCAAGAAAACAAAGTAAATACCGGAGACTCTGGAGGAATAACGGGCGCTTAAAACGGAGGTAGACCGGACAAGAGCTAAAAAGCCGGGTCAACATAAACGATGGGGGACGCTTGGGGATCTTGGTGACCCTGTAACCTTTCTGCTGGACAGGTAAACCGCTTTAACAAAGTAAGACAAGTGTCTGTAACAGAAGTGTTTCTTGTCAAACGGACCTGCTGTAGCGTGTTGTAGCGCCATCGCTAAACTGTCCTCCCTCGGGTCCTGGACTATGTCACTTTATCCTCGTTGTAGAAGTCCTGCAAACATTGTGTTTGCTGGTAGTCTGTTGGCATCTACAGTAGCACCAATGCTTTTGACTTTCACCTTGACTGGGCCCCATTTGTAATGATCTGAAGTATTGATCTGCATTATATCTGAATTTAATCGGAACGATACGAGCGAGCAGGAGCGTCTGTTTGTGGGCGGGGCTTAAGAGAGGGAGGGGAGAGGAGGAGCTGAGGGGAAAACTGGTTTGGAGGGGTAGAGTTTACATTCAAGATTTCTCCTAAAAACTGGAACTTCCTCAGACCTTGACTACCCCACCTTTAATTGCAGAATTTCATTAGCCCATTGTGTTCAATCACATTTTAATTGCACGTTTTAAATCGCACTAATTTAGCTTTAGCTCTCCGTTCTTTCCAGGAGCCCCCCTCTGTTTCCTCCAGGTTCTGTACGCCTGAAAATATCGTTCTCCTTCATGTAAAGGCGAACGACTGAGTCTTTCACACTGAGTCAGTTTAGTATAAAGTTCACGTCACTTTAGACACACCAACCTAGCCAACCGCTCTCTTCATCAGCTGCTGTCTAATGGTTCAGGTTCCAGCAGACACCACATGCAAATTGCTTGTTGAATCTGTCCGTAGGAGATGTGCAAATGTCGGTCAAAGCCTTTAATTTGGGCCTCCAGGAAGACGGCGCATTAGAGAGAAATATAATTTGTTTGACGGACACATTTAATCTGCAAAGGGAAAATGAAAAAGGTAAAAACTTTTGCAGAACTGGACTTAAAAAACTCAGTTCTCTCCAAAGTCGATTCCCTTCCTGTTATCTCTCTTTGTTTTTTAAATGGCGTACATCAAAAATTAGCATCGCTTTTATACTTTCCAGTCTGATTGAGCGATGTCCACGCCACCACTTTGACGAGACAGTCTCCTTCAACTTCTTCATCAACTCCATTTGATAAAAGAACGAGAGGTACTCATATAACCAAATTCAGATCCCATTAAGATTTAATCAGGCCTGAGGGAACAAGAGGAGATGAGATAAGAGATCCAAGAACTGTGCGGGAACCTTTTATCCGTCTATCTCAGACCCCCCGTCCATTTCGAACATCCCTTTTTACTCCGGACAACTTTTTAAATCCTCAAACAGAACTTGGTGCGAATCCTGTGATGTTTTAGTTACACGTTACCGCAGACGAGCTCTGCAATAACACAACTGACACATTATTTCACCAATTTGCCCTTAATTGACCAACAGAGAAAAGGTAGAGGTGGATGAAAAGAAACAAAAAGGTAAGAGAAGAAAGACGGCAGGCAAACATAAAGGCGTTGAGTCTCCTCTGGAGTACGGAGCGGTCTAAATGAATGACATAAATAGGACAGTTTCCTCACTGTCTGATGCCTTGAGTGTTGCACCACTTCTCTTTTGCTGCAAGGACAACAGCGTGATTAGCGGCTGGATGTCACAGCAGTTCACGCTATCTCCCTGCACCTCTATCTCACTCATGCGCCCGAGGCCTTATTAGATTTTGTTGTCCGTGTGCATGCATCTGTATATGTGTGAGTGTGTGTGTGTGTGTGTGTGTGTGTGTGTGTGTGTGTGTGTGTGTGTGTGTGTGTGTGTGTGTGTTTCCTTCAACCCTTTGCTCCCCGTTTCAGACGACACTGATTTACATGCAGTCTCTGTGTTTGGACTGAACCACTCCCGTTGTGAAAAATGTTTTATTCCTTTACTTTGGGAGTGCTGCTCACCATACTGACCATGAAGTCGTTTTTAAAAGGTCAGCTCACCACAAATCAGTCGGTTTTTTTACGACCTTTACTTGCGCAGTTTGGGTTTAATTGGTCAATTTTCCTGGTTGGAGAAAATGAACCAATCAGAGCTCAGCAGGGGTTCAAAGAATGGAGTTGAAAACAAGACAAGAACGTTTTTCTTTGCCCTTTTGGTCGCCTTAAGGAGTTTTTGATCATTAAAAGCACGACTGCCATTGTGTTTTATTAGCATCTCATGAAAAGGACGTCTTAAGAGGACGTAACACGCACTTCAAATTCCTGTCAATGCTTTCAAAGACCCCGCTGATCGATAAAGAGTCGGTCTCTTCGCAGCATGTTATGTTTGCACACGACTGCTTCATTTAAGCGATCAATCGATATTTATTAAATGTCAAATCCGAACAAATGTCACTTAAAGGTGTTTTACAGAAAGGTTAGGTCGAGCCGATACTCCATCCATCCATTTATCCGTCTTTTCCAGCTTATCCGGAGTCAGGTCAGAGGGGAGGAAGTCTGAGCAGGGAAGCCCACACTTCCTCTCCTCGAGCCACTTTGGGGTCTTCCCCGTGATCTCCGAACGGTGGGAGGTGCCCTGAACAACCCACCAGCGAGGAATCCTGATGAGATGCCCAAGCCACCTCATCTGACTCCTCTAAACATGGAGGAGCAGCAGCTCTAGTCCGAGCCCCTCCTGGATGACCGAACTTCTCATCCTATATTTAACGGAGAGCCCAGACACCAAGAGGAGAAAACTCATTTCAGCGGTTTGCACCCGTGATCTAGTTCTTTGACTCATCATGTACAGCTCGTGACCATCGGTGAGGGTAGGAACGTTGATCGACCGGTACATCCAGAGCTCTGCCTTTTGAGTCTATTCTGTTTGTTTTATCGTTTACCAACCACCAACATCAAGATAAGATTGAGTGAGGACAAGGGAAATGCATGTGCAGTATGATAATATGATAATCTTGCTGGATTACTTCTTAATCCAGCAAGATTATAAACTTTTCCATGAATGCTGGCCTGGAATATCACTGGTGTTGTTGTATTGCAGCCATAAAACTCTACAACCCAGATGATGGTGGAGGGATCTCCCAGCTATAAAGTGATCTAGAGAGTGGAGATATCGTTGTATGAAGAGTTTGTCTAATCAATCTTTGTTTATAGTGACCGGAACAGAAATGTGGACATCAACCTGCAGACTCTGTGATCTCATGTTCTTCTCAGGTGTTTCCTCACCTCTATAAAGGGTTGAAGCTTAAATCACATTTTTGTTCAAACATGTAAGAAATTACTCGTCAGGATGTCATTAATTAAAACAAAGAATCACTGCCTAGGCTGCACTTAAATCTGAAGGTTGTTGAATTGGATGGATGCTGTAGGAGAGCAGGCTCATCACATCAGTGTAGGGCTGCACGATTTAGGCCAAAAATAAAATCCAGATTTTTTTCTCTGAAAACTCGATTTTTGATTTTTTATTCAGTGACAACTTCACCAAACTTCACTTTAATAAAAAGTTTTTCTATCATCTTTTAAAACCAAACCACTGAAAACAATGTAGTTCATATGCCAAGCCAGTAAGTGGCGCTGTAACGCAGAAGAAGAGTACAGAGCATGTGTATAAAGGTTGTTTTGGCGCCATAAAAGAGTTCCTCTGTGTGTCACATGATCGTTTCCACGCGGAGATGAAATGATCGCTGTTTACAGATTTATTCACTCTCTGACCCGTTTTTAAAAAGTACCGTTTACAGTCACCTGAAACACCAGTACGACAAAAAACGTTAGCATTTCCTCCTGAATTAGTTTCTGTGGTGACGGGTTGATACCGCCTTCAGACAGACTGTCTGAAGGCGGTGTGTGTGTGGGAACTGTGGAGCCTACAGTGGCCACGAGGCACGAGACATGATAGAGAGGAAAACTGATTTGAGGATTTACATTTTTTTAACATCGTCATAATCAAATAATCTGATCGTGATTTAAAAATCGATTGATCGTGCAGCCCTACATCAGAGACGTCGTCTTTGTTTAAGCTCTGTGTAAAAAAATCTCTCATTACCTCTTAAAGACTTTAATAAAGTCTTTAGAAGTTAACTTTTACGTTGTTTGTTTTCTCTTCATCTTTCCTCCACTGATTGTATGTCCCACCTTTGTTGACCAGGATTGTCAAAAACACTCTTTAAATGAAGTTTATTCCCGTTCTTCCTCTTTTCCTCCTTCTTAAATAACAACCCTGAAGCTTATCAAGCACTCATGGTTCGTTTGAGAGAGACTTTGATTTAAAATCAACTCTTAGAAAAGAACAACGATGGACCACTTTGCTGTAAAACATTAATTTTCATTATGAGTAACCGTTATACGACTGTGCATGTTAAATGACTTGTAAGATATGTTAATTTGCATTAGCTTTTTATTATGGTAATAGCAAACATAATTGGACGGCATTACATTTCCCCATAAAAGCATTTGCTGTTGCAAATTAGCTGCAAATGAGTATGATTTCTTGGAGACAGAGCTGCGGTAAAAACAGATGAAACAGAGGAGACAACAGCTCCGGAGAAAACACGGAAACTGACCCTTTAAACTCTGAGCTCGGCTCTCTGGCCTCACGTCTGTCTCGTTACCTCAGAGATAGAAAAAAAAAAGAAAAACAAATCCATTCATTGTTTCTCTGACAGTTTGATTTTCTGCTTCATGTACAGTAAATTTCATCTTCCTGTGAATTCCCTGATTGGCTGCACGCTGCTGCCTCGGCACGTTTCCTTCACAGTCTGCAGACGGTGATGATGGTGACATTATCCGGCACAGACACGTCAAACTCCCTCGGCGCATGCTTTATCTGCGTGTGTGATTCGGTGTGTGTGTTACTGCGTTACACTGTGACGAGGTTTAACCTTTACACGAGCGTCAAACACAAACCAAACGAAGCGATGAGAAAGAAAAGAAGAGGAGGGCTGAAACTTATCGCTTACATCGCCGTTCTGTCCTGCTGTGTTGCTGTTCGGAGCAGAAATTAAACCCCGCTGTGGACTCAATCACTTGTATGTTTTGTATGTGGCAGCGCACTGCCGCTGCAATCCATCCTCTTTACAGATAAATAGCTTTCTCGCCCGGAGCTAAATATCACTCTGACTCTTTACCCTGCAGGGTTCACTCCATCACAGCTCCCTCAACCTGCCCTGGTCGGAGTAAACAACAGCTCTTGATCCCTTGTGCTTTCCTGGACATGAAGGGAAAACAACGAGAGCGGAGAGCGGGTCACGTTAGCCTCGAGTCAAACAATGGCTTTGCTGAGGGATTAACTCACACGGCCAATTACAAATCGTAAAATCAGGAGCTGTGTGAAAAAGTCGTCCCTGCTGATGAATCGGTCCGTCTGCAGCAGAGTTTACAGGCTGGTCATGTCGGTGGTTTCCTCCTCCCTGTCTTCCACCAAAGAGTCGGTCTGTGATGTTTTGCTTCTGTGCTGCCGGCTGTAACAGAAAGCGTCTCTGCTCATAGTAATGATGTCTCTCTTATCGTGTGACAGACCATATATCCCCTCCCCTGAAAAACTCCTTAATGGCATTACGTCTATTTCCGCGGACTCCATTTTTAAAGGTAATGACCCAATGTTGTCGTTCACAGAGTGTCTCCTCATGGGCAGGAAGTCCGTTTTGTGTATGGAGTTTGTAAAAGTGTGTAGCTGGCACTGAAACAAGGAGCTGTCACACACGCTGGGACTGGACCGACACCAGTCTGAGATACTGTGGTCCGATCCCACTCGGCTGTCTGAACTGTCTCCGATTTTGTGAACCAGCCCCTGGCCTCTCGCCAGGCTCAACAACCTGGGGACTGTCACGATGGAGGCGGACGCCGCCACAGCTGCAGCTGCCGCAATATGGTGGTGCTCCGTCGTTGTTACTTTGGTGTCCTGAGTCGTTGTGACGGGAGACGTCACGGCGACTGAGCTGGAGAAGGACGCGGAGCCGAAGAGAGAGGCCACCTTCTGGTAGTATCTGGTTCGTATCACCTTGGCTGAGCGGTACAGATCCCCGATGAAGCAGTAACAGATGGGGTTGAGGCTCGAGTTCGTCAAGCCGAGCCACTGGGCGAACGGGCGCGCCTGCAGGAGCCAAGATGGCGGCCTTTGATTGCAATCAATCCAAAGGTCAGTCAGGTAGAGTGGCAGCCAGGAAACGGTGAACAGCAGGACCAGACACACCACCATCTTGGCGATCTTTTGGCGCGTCTTGAGGCGGGATACATGCAGAGCTTGGCTGCGAGGATCCAGATCGGCGAAGGTGGATTTCGTTCCACCCCACAGCCGTCTGCCGGTCAGGAAGCCGATGGTGAGGTTAAAGGTCACGGGCAGACAATAGAGCATCACAAACAGCAGCACGTTGTACCTGCGGAAGAAAAGCGAACGGTTTAAAAACTGCAAAATCTCAGTGTCAAAGACGGCAGCTCAACAAAAGGCGATTTTCATCCACGTCAACATCGTTAGCTCGGCTCTCCATTAAAACTTGAAAAGAAAAAAAGCGATCGACTGAATCTTGTTCAATCAACGCTTTTTTTTTTTCTAACACTTTGAAGTTTCAGTTTCAGACCCGCTGAACAGAAAATGAGATAAAAGAACAGAGAAGACAATACGACGCGAGGTGTTCTGACGCCTTTTCACAGCTCCTGATGAAGTCGTACAAAACCCGAGAGGCATAAGAGCGAAAGTCTTTCTGTAACAGACCTGTGTTTGATCTTTAACGTCTGAACCAGGTCATCCAAACTTTGATTCAAAGATATCACACAGTTTTGTTGTTAGAAAAATCTTCAAAATCACAGTTTAGTCTGCAGCCGACACAGGGATGTTAATTTCGTCTTTGCTCTGCTGCTGCCGTCACTTCTGGGTCTCTTTCCTCCGAGAGAATAAAACAGGAGAAAACCTTTTAATTCATTTGGCTGAACGGCTAATCAGAGAGCTGTCTTTTATCGTCAGTCTGCAGGGATTTTTTTTTCATGCTCAAATGGCTTTCAAGAGACGATTATCTGACAGAGGAGAAATTGTTTTCACACAAACTCCTGGTGCTGAAGATGTCAAGGTCTGCTGGTGTTACATTATTGTATGCAACACATGTGAATCCTGAGAGAGCAGCCGGCCTGCATTCGAGGGAATTTCAATAAATCATGAAATAAACTCAAATTAATATCAACGTCCCTGTATGACCTGCGGGGGCAGCACCAAATTGATTTTCAGCACACAGTCAATTTTACTGCCTGACATGAGGAAGATGTCAGAAAAGAGGCGGGAAGAGAAAACGGAGGAGGATATTAGCGAAGAGATAAGGAGGAGCCATTTTGTCCAAACTCAAAGTTAAAGAAAGAAGCCTGCAGCGTAATTGGTGTTTAAAAAAAAAACCTTAATTTATCCTGACTCAATTATAACACCAATCAGTTCATGATTCGGGTTCAAACGTCTCACATATCCTCAGATTTCACAGGTTTTTGGTCAAGAAAAGATTAAATCTGAAGAACCGCATCGAATCAGCGCCATCCCTCTAAAGAAGTGAAGCCAAAACATTCAGAGCTCCCCCTGCTGACAGGATTCAGTATAACGGGGCTTTCACACCAAACACAAACAAAATCATCTATTTGTTCTATTCGGGAGAATCTTTTAGTCTATTCGTGCTAATTTCGACAGTGGTCTTTGCCAATTCAACCGGCAGGATCAGGTGATCGATGTTTTTTCACAATTTACCAGATAATCTGACCTCCTCACCTCCTTTCCTCCTGGCGAGTCCTTTTTATTCCTGTTTTTATTAAAAAAGCCGTGCTCTCCATCCAGCATGGTAGGAGTGAACCACGTTCAGTGGATCGCTGTTTTGATTTTGTTGTGGAAGGACTACAACCATCGGAGATGTAGGTGTAACTGTGTCTTTCCAGATGACGTCCGTTTCTAGCATTATTTTCCGTATACCTGACCCTAATTTGATGACCTGTTGGTGAGGGTCGGTGTCAGGATATCCCTCCAGAATACAGATGACAGGCGCTCTATCATCTGTCTACTGTGAGGAAAAGGTTTTGTGTTTCTATTTTCACAACAGAAACGTCTTCAGGTCCATTTTCATACATCAGGGCTTGACACGAACTTTTTTCAGAAGGAGCGCATCTGCTCTAAGTCGAAAAAGTAAGGAGCACACAAAGAACTTTAGGGGCACAATGACAACAGATCAAATAATGTTTGACTTATTGATCGACCTTAGTATTATTATTTGAAATCAATTTTAGTTCTTTTGGTCACATGACATGGAAGCGATTGAGGGAAAACAGCCTTTTCTGAGAACATCAGCCGGTAATTTATTGACGGTCCCTTATTCAACACCGACGTTGACAGTGAGGGTGTCGAGTAGATTTAACCTAAAACTAACTTCACCGCCGTATTTACAGGAAAAAACATTTGTTACTTCAGCTGATTTTTTTATGAGTTTTGTGAGTAAAATGGTCGCGAATTCACGCCATTTGGCGAACAGCTCGCTCAATTTGCCCACTTTGCGTTATTAGCACCGCCAGAGTAGTACAAGCGTCAAATGGCGTCCTTACAGTGATTTTACATATATTTCATTTGCATGAATGATTTCACTCTCGTTTGGTGTGAACGCCCCATAAGCCATCTTGGAGTTAACAGATGGCACATGTGGGTCGAGTCTCTGGACGTGAAACACGCACGCCTGCTTCAATGACGTGCCTGAATCAGTTTTTCTGTGGACCGTGTGGCCCTGAGGCGGTTTCATGTTTTATCCAGAGTCTGTTTTCATTAGTAAAGAAATGTGAGATAAATTATGCAGTTTATAAAACCCAGACAGCTTCTGGGCATGTTTTGTCTCCAAACTATGTTGCCAGCATCCATCAGAGCGTTTTTCAATCGGAGTACCTACCCCTGTTTGAGCCGATGCTGAGGCCACTCCTCCTGACACACCAAGATGGCAAACGTCCCAAAACTGATCTCCCGTCTCCGGTTCATCACTGTGATCGGCGCACATATGATGAAAGATATAATCCACACCACGGCGACAGTCGCCAGTATTCGCCGGCGGGTAAAAATGGAGCGTGCTCGCAGCGGCGATCGGACGCTGTAGTAGCGATTGACACTGATCACTGTGAGCGTCAACACGCTGGCTGAGACTGAGACGGCCTGAGTGAACGGCACCGCTCGACACAGGAGGTCCCCGTAAACCCAGGCTGTGTAGATCTGACTTCCCAAGGTGATAGGCATGCACACGCACACCACAGCCAGGTCACACACCGCCAGGTTCACGAGGAGGTTACGTGTTGCGCTGACACCTGCGAGCCGCCTGCTCCGCCTGTTGGTGAGGACACGCAGGGACATTAAATTCCCGACAAATCCCAGAATGAAAGACAAGCAGTACATGATGGTGAGAGCGATGGTGGTGGGCTCGTGGAGAGTCCAGAGGAGCATGCTCTCCAGGTCAGATAAGTCATTGGGGGAGAAGCTGGACAGGGAGAAAGGGAAGGAGGAGGCGGACGGTTGGTAAACAAGAGTGGATGTTTGCTTAAAGGATGAGGTTGAGGTGGAGAATAAAGGGGAGGAGATGAAGGAGGGGTGAGGGACAGGGGAGGAGGGCAGCAGAGAGGGCAGAGGTTGATGGATGGAGGCTGTGGATGAGCTGAGAGTGGAGGGCAGAAGTATAGAGCTGTGGAGGCTGTTTGTGCGGTTCAATCTTTCCTGAAAGTCTTGGTGCTGCAGCAGGGGTGAGAAACTGGGCCGAACCGGGCTCCAGCCGGGCTGCTGGACCTGGGAGAGATCCATGCTGTACTCCTCAGATAAAACCAAGCAGACCAAGTATGACGAGCTTAATTAGAAAAGCTTTACATCCACGGTTTGAGACCAAAAATCTCAATCACTGCATCTGTAATCCAGGGAATATTAAATCCAAAGAGGAGGGAAATCCTCTCCGAAGACATCACATCCGGTTCCACTTGACCCTCTTGTGAACTGGAATTAAAACCTCTGGGGGCGAGTCACAGTCCCCCATTTAAGACCAGGTCTTATGAGTCAGCTGGAGTCATGACGGTGGTCATTACTGGTCCCAGTGAAGCCTCGATATGTACATTTTGTCCTCCTGGGAGTGGCGGTCTGAACCTGATAATCCCCCACCAGCTGTTAATAGACTTTCTCACCTTCAAGGAAGGCAGACCCAGCGTAAACCTCCTCCTCCTCCTCCTCCTCCTTACACTTCTCCTCCCCTCACACCCCAGTCCTCGATGCAATCAAATCTGTTCAGAGAAACACAGCAGGCATCAGACAATGGGTCCACCTGCAGATCTGCAGCAGACAACACAACATCAAGTAACAGATTCATGAAGAGACAGAGCAGGTTTGAATCAAAGTTTGAACAAATTAAACATGCAAGAAGATTTTACAGATTCAGGAAAAGGATATTTGGAGTGTAACTTCTAGAGATGCACAGATCTATTTTTTCCGATACTGATACCTGGGCTGAATATATCGGCCGATATCCAATACAGATCCAATACTACTGATGAATGAATGAACTGTATACCTGACTCTGTGAGTGAAGGCATCAGGCTTGACATTAGCCTTGTTTAAAAAAGGTAACAAATTAACACAAATATAAATTTACCTCGTATAATTTATTAAATAAAAAACTGCACATTAGCACACAGCAAAAAGAAGTAAGACTTCCATGTTAACATTTAGACAGACATAGAATATAGAACAAACAGAATTGCTGTGTTGTTGAGTGTGATATTGATTAAAAGAAAACAAAGACTGGATCGGAACGCTCGATCGGCGTCATTCATCAAATATCCGATCCAAATATCAGATCGGTGCATCCGGAGTAGCTTTAAGATGAATTTTTCACACTTTCAGGTATCACTTTTAAAGTAAATCTATCATTGTGCTGTTATATTGTTCTCCAAAATGTCAGAGAGAGTCAGGTACAAAGAGTTAAAGTAAAATAAATATGTACAAACTTAAAAGTGAGCGAGCAAAATAAAAAGAACATTCAGTCTCAAGTCGAGAAAAAGGCACAGAGAGGAAAAACCAGGAGAGGGAGAAATAAAAGCAAACGCAGCGCCTACCTTCAAATGAACGCAGATCCAGCCTCGTTTGTTCAGTCATTGTTTGCTGATGATGGTGCGTGGATCCTCTCTGAAGATGCTGAGGAAGCATTCAGGTGCTGAGCGAGGAGGAGAAGATGAAAAAAAAGAAAGAAAAAAACAGACGGAGACTGGTGTAAAGTTCCTCCTGAATCCTCCCGGTCCGTGTGTGAGAGTGAATCCGCGGTGAGCTCCGTCATCAGCGGACCTCTTTGTGTCTCTGTCGGCTCTCCTTTGAAACTAAACGGACTCCTCAGATGTCTGCGCTCGTGCCGGCGGGAGCTCCGAGCCCGCGTGCGCCACTGCAGGACTGAACATTGGAGGAAGAGGAGGAGGAGGAGGAGAGGGCTGAAGCAGCTGATACTGCCACGCGCACACACACACAAAAACCGAGCACACTCACACACATGCACACGTATAGGTAGACACGCACCCGCACTTGTGGGACCATGTAATCAATCAAAGTGACTCTCAGTTTCTGTGGCTCCCCAAACTTGTCATCAGGTCCCCTCTTGGCTCAGTTTAAAGCAGGATAACACGCCCTCCTGTACCTCTATGATGGATCGGGAGGAGGGGATCGGGATGACCTGTGGATTATTGCCTCGACATCATTTTCATACAAAGACGGTTTGAAGAAAGAAAAAAAAAAACTATCTGAAAGTCTCAGAAATTTGTCTCTGTATGGACCTCATCTAACTCTAGAGGAGTTCAACTTCAAAATAATGTTTTAATATTATTCTGAAAAATATACATAAAATGGAGCTTTAAAGGTGGTGTAGTCAGGATCTGAGGAAGTTCCAGTTTTTAGGAGAAATCTTGAATGTAAACTCTACCCCTCCCAACCAGTTTTCCCCTCAGCTCCTCCTCTCCCCTCAAGCCCCGCCCACAAACAGATGCTCCTGCTCGCTCTTATCATTCAAATTAAATTCAGATATAATGCAGATAAATACTTCAGATCATTACAAATGGGGCACAGTCAAGGTGAAAGTCAAAAGCATTGGTGCTACTGTAGATGCCAACAGACTACCAGCAAACACAATGTTTGCAGGACTTCTACAACGAGGATAAAGTGACATAGTCCAGGACCCGAGGGAGGACAGTTTAGCGATGGCGCTACAACACGCTACAGCAGGTCCGTTTGACAAGAAACACTTCTGTTACAGACACTTGTCTTACTTTGTTAAAGCGGTTTACCTGTCCAGCAGAAAGGTTACAGGGTCACCAAGATCCCCAAGCGTCCCCCATCGTTTATGTTGACCCGGCTTTTTAGCTCTTGTCCGGTCTACCTCCGTTTTAAGCGCCCGTTATTCCTCCAGAGTCTCCGGTATTTACTTTGTTTTCTTGCTTGTGTCGGCAGTCGTGGCCAAAGGAGGATTCAGACAATTTTCCGAACTTTCTGGTTGGTTTCTACTGTCCGGTATTGTAGCACGCTAACTTTGTTTGGGAGCAGCGTCTGCCTCACAACCAATCAGGTTGAGGAGGTGGAGACTGGCTTTGTTTACAGTCAGAATGAGCGGACCGCTTAAAACTTTTAAAATGTTGACTACACAGACATATGAGAACACAGAGATATCGTTATATTACCAAAGGTCATCAATAACTAATAGATATTGACTGATATTAAAAGATTTTTTGTAGATACACCACTAAAAAAGATGCTTCTTTAACGGGTTCCTGCCTACTCTACCTTTAAAGAAGAAGACATTTTTCTCCTTAGTAAAAAAAAAAACTGGGTTGTGCATTTGCCACCTTTTTGTTCCCCTCTGACTCTCTCGTGGCCATGACTGTTTTCTCCAGCTAACCAAAGCTATCCAGAGAGCCAGTGGCCTAATCATGTCTGAGAATGCAATCTCCCATCATTAATAATGACAATTATGCCCTGCAAACCTTTCAGCAACAATCTGTGGTGGACTCATCATCCGCGTGCTGGTAAGGCAGAGTATATTTATGTGTTTGTGAAAGTGACCCGGCGTTTATTTCTCCTGCTGGTGTTGATTACTTATAGCTCAACCTTGTTGTTTTTCCATGTTCAAATTAGCTCACCATGCTCTGCGTTAAAATGTTCAAATAATTAGTCCCAGAGAAAATAGATGGATGTTCGAGTTACCTGTAACAACGGGACACTTTCAGAGATGCTGGGGTGAATATAAATCAGCCCTTTGAGTGCATTATTCATGCAATTATAGGGATCGAAATTCAGTGGAAGCTTGAGAAAATCATCACCTCAACAAGTGGATTTTCATTAAAAAAGTAAACTTTTTAAAAACTCAATTTGATGAAATAAACTTTCAAGATTTCAAGCAATATCATGGTCTGCAAATCATCTGGTGGAAGTTTGGTGCTGTTGACAAGTCCTGCTGGAAAAGGAAATTGGTTTTCAATAAATCATGTCAGCAGACAGAAGCATGTTATTCATACTGGACCGCAGATTCTGGGTCGCTCTGTTCGTCCTGCAGACGACCAGAATCTAAAGTTTGCTCTACAGACGCTCCAGATGAAGTCTGTATGATTTGACTAAATCATGTTTATTCAACTGTATTATTAAAACAACTCATAAGATATTATTATATAAGAATAATAACATTAAAGTGGGTCATCTGTTTGTGACTTTTGTTGGACTAGTATTCAGAGTATTTAAAGCTACAGTGCGTAACTTCTGCGTGTCTGTAAATATCCGTTTCACCCAAGCGTGTGTTTGGCTCCTCTAACACCTATCATGGTATTTTTCAGTATTAGTTTTTATTAGTTTACTCTAACTTCTACCAACAGTGAGTCATCGGCATATTTGAGAACCCTTATTGGAAAAAAATATGATCTTTGGATTAGCAGAGTTTCATTCATAGACTCTTTTTACTGCGAGGGGAAAAAACTAAAAAGCTGAGAGAAGTAAGTGAAGCTCGTCCAGGTGATTTTTCCGTCTGAGTTTGCTTCTTCTCTGTAGATGAAAAAAATAATAACCCTGACCTGTTCAGGTAAACGGGTTTATGGGAGATTTTCCTTAAAGCTGCAGTCGTACCTGCTGCTTTTGCACCTTTTCCCACCAAACTTTGATCTTCTGGTCGACTTGTTTTAAAGCGTTTTAACCGTCTGAACGGCGATTTTCTGAGACGGTAAAATAATAATTTAATAGTTTTCAATTTATGTTTGACTTTTGACTTGACCCAGGGTAAAATCATACATAATCAGATTTAATATTGAATATATAGGCAGGTTCATATATTCAATAGAGCTGTGATTAGAGTGGGTCTAAATTTCACATCAGTGTTTAATAATCTACCTTACAGATTCAAGCGCTGTTACTTTTATTAAATATTCATCTTATCTATATTGTATCACATAACCTTTATAATCTAATACCGAGCAATAAAACCAGTTTCCTGCTTTTACCTGCAGCTTGTAAGATAAAGAATAATACGTTAATTAAATTATGCCAACATCATAAACGCTGACTTCCACGATTTTTGATTTGTGCCAAAAACAAGAAGAACGTTTTTCTCATGACGGGGTGAAAAAGGTGGAAATTGAGTTTTATATCCAACATACTGTTTTTTTATTTATTTATTGAGTCTACGTCTCCGCACCACCACCCTCCTGTCCCACTACACCGTCCCCTTTCAGAGCCAACAGGAGTTTCTCTGTTTATCTCACACTGGAGTTGTGAGTTTGTGTCGCCTCAAAGTTACTCTCCAACAAAAATAGACGAGTAAGCATGATGTAACACCCGCAACAGGATGCTAGCGAGTGCCGCAAAGTGCACCATGGGTAATTTATTTTAGGTGCTATTATGACTCATCAAGAGAAAGTGTTATCTGGGGAGGACATAGGGTACTGACATCTGGTTAGTTCAGTCTTGGTACGCCAAGAGGTTCAAACTAAAGTGGCCGTGCCGGACGACCAGCCCACTTAAAGTCCCGGTTTAGCAACAAACTAAGATACGGACTATCATGGAGGACACGCTAAAATATTGATCGCTGGAGCAAGATTTGACGTCGGCGTTATGAGTCAGCTAAGGACATTTATTATTTAGCTCCACTTTTCAGAGTAAATCATTTATGTCTCTTTTTTTTGGTCATAAAATCCGCCTCGGTGACTCTTACAGCTGTATTTAGACACTCAGCCTCACAAAACATTTGGTTTGTTTTCTATTTTTCACAAAATCTGAATGGTGTTATTAATTCTCATATCCGTATGTAGATTAAGTCTGAAAGCTTTGATTATCCCTCCTTTGAAAATGATCCCTCTGAGACCGAAAGGAGAACACATTTAATCCTGTACAGAATAAAAATGGTGAATTAATTTAATTTTTCCGAGCCGTTTGAAGGTTGCAGATAACTGCAGTTATTCACAAAACTCACGGCCGAACCATCTGCTTCATGAGGATGAAAACATTACCTCAAGTTTCTGACTTATGTAGATTACAGACTCAATGGCGTCGGGTCCTTTTGTTCGTCCTTTTCGTCAGCCTGTTCAGAAACACCAGCCTGAAAAGGACAACAGCCTTGGCTGCTCACGGGTTGGCATGGCGCTGCGTCGCAAACCTTCCCACAGCATGACGTTCCTGAATCACACCACAACTTCAGCAAGGTCACATTTCTGTGTTGGTGTCTGACGTTAAATCATGAAAGCTCTCTTACAGTACTGAAACCAACGTGTTATCAGGTCAAAGTAACTGCAATAAACCGGAAAACAAGTTAAAAAGATTCATCGAGAAACAGTCTAGGTGGATTTGCAACTTATTTTATGATACAGCACGTTCACTATGATATTAAAAACTGCTAAAACAATCTAGATAAGTCACTAATGAGCAATCACAGGCCGAGATTAAACCGACCATTTTGAGGTTAAGATAACTGAAACTGTGTTTTTAACAGTGAGATGAATTTTCAGCCTCATCAAAGTTCTGGGACTGTTCTTGTTGGGGTGTATAATCAGAATAGACTCATAATTATATATGTTTTTACATTGAATGGTATGGTATTTTAATAAATTGATGACATATTTAAGTATTTATTTAAAGATGTATTTATATATTTCATTCCGTCTCTTTTCAACCTCCATAGCAGCGCTGGGCGATAAACTGAAGATTTACCGATTCTGAAATTTACAATAATAACCAACGTCATTTTGTTCATATCAATAAATTTGGTGTCAAAAAATGAATAAATCAAAGTTGGTTTTGGATGTATGTAGGTAGGTTATGGTCTCATGTCCTTTTAAGACACTGTCCTACGTCAGAGACGTGACTCCACCCCGTCCATTGTGGATCACTTAACGTCCATTTATCGTTATCGAGGTGAACTGATCAATATATTGTGATATAGATTT